CCACAGTATTTATAGATGTATAGCTGTCAGAGTTTCAGTTTTCAAGAAAAGTTGTAGAGATGGATAGTGATAATGGTTACACAATGGAAATATACTTAATCTCACTGAGTTAAACCCTTAAAATAGATAGGCCAATACATTTGATTATATCTATTTTAATACAATTATAAATGAAAAAAATAGAAATTAGTGAAAATATACTATTGGGAAGATGGTGGGCCATGCCAGTAACCAGCTGTGTTTCCAATTAGGGTGTGCCAGATGCTTCATACTACAACCTCTATCTTCTATATGTACCCTGAGTGTATCTGAATGGGCTGGGGACAAATGGCCACTGTGGAAGAACAGTATTCACTATAACGCAAACCTGGGGGAGAGGCTTTTCCTGTGTTGGACCTGATGCAGAGCTGGTGGCCCCTGTTGATAGCCAGCAATAGGTTATAGCAGGGAGTAGTAGGAGCTTGTCTTTCATGTGGGAAAGGCTCTTTCAACAGGCCACAGACTACCGCAGACCCCTAGATCATTCACAGAGATGTCAGGACCCCAGATTTTCCTGGAATGTATCTTCTACTTTCTGATATAAATATGCATTACCCAAGTACCTATTGCTTTCTATTCACCTGATGTAACCAGCAACAATTGACCATTGTTATTATCAGCATTGAATACCAGTTTGATATGCTTGGCACAGTGTCCTGATCAATGTCTCCCTGGATAAACTGTTACAGTTATAAAATTATACTTCCAGATGAAAATAGACTGCTTGGAGTAATCTCTGCTTATTGTAATGAATAGGGATAGTTTGGAGGAAATTCACTGTTGTTGGAATGTGGAAGTTAATTATGAAATGAATCTCAAAGGATCTGGTGGAAGAGATCAGTACAAGCAAAGACAGAGATAGGCAAATGAGTGATATAGAAAGTGACTGGTTGCCTAATTTATACATTCAAAAACTATTTATTGATTATCCAACAAATTCCAGTGACTGGCCTGGGGCTGAGTTTATAAAAGATAGCATGATGTGCCTAGACTTTAAATGATAGAATAAAGAAATAATTTAGAAAGCAATTGTATACCACTTACAGATTTTTAAGATAGTAATATGGTAAAAGTTGCCTTTCAATGAAGATTAATCTGGCAGCAGAAGTTAAGATCCTAGACAGAGAGAGGTAATGAAGATCTGAAATGGAGTAATGATAGCGAAGAGGAAAAGGGTGCGATAAAAAAATGTTGAGGAAGAGGAATCCACCTCGTAAGGTGGGAGCCAGTAAGAGATATAAGCCAAAAACAACTCCAAGCCTGTGAGCTGGGGTGAACAAAATCAGCAATTGAGGTAATGAAGCCAAGAGGCAGATTTGGTATAAAGTAGAAAATGATAACAAGAGCTAAAATTATTTGATTGAAACACCTTAACAGCAGGGACTATTTACACTTTTACCATAGTGCTTGGCAGAAGACAAACAGTGAGTAAGCATTTGTCACAAAATACATTATATATTTGATCTCACTGAATTGTCAAGTTCACCCTAACAAGGAGGTAGAACTACCCCATTTTTGCTACTGATCTTATTTTTTTAATTTGAACTGCTTTGGATACACAAAAATAGAGAATATTATAATGAACACACCTATGTACCATCAGCTTGAGAAACAAATATTACAATATTATCTGTCTTCATGTGTTCAGGTTTCAGTAACCATATATTTGATTACTGAGTGGCTTACAAACAACATAAATTGATTTTTTTCTCAGTTCTGGAGAATGGAAAGTTCAAGGTCAAGGCACTGGCTAATTCATTATCTATAACTCCTGCTTCTTAGTTTAGGCTGGCAGTCTTGTCCCCAGAACCCTATGGTGGGAGGGTTGAGGGGGTCTCTTAGGGTCCTTAATCCTATTCATGAGGAGAGATTAAAATTCTTAAATGACTCTCTTCACAAAGACATCACCTAATACCATTGCCATAGGAGGCAGGCAGGATTTCAGTGTACACATTTTGGGGAAATACAGATATTAAGACCATAGCATTATCATCGTCCCATTTTATAGGTGAGAAGGCTGAAAGTGAGAATAGGTAACATCATTCATAGCATTCTAATTCATGCCAGCCTTGTGATTTGAACATAGGCCTGTCTGCCTCCAGAGCCCATGTTCTCAGCTACACCTGGATTGTGATGGGACATCCAAGTGGAAGCACTTAGCAGGTAGATGGAAATATAAAATGTATTGAAGTGAGATAATTCAGGAGTGGAAACATCACCATGGAAATTACCTGCATCCAAGTGATGCTGGAAGGGAGGTAAATAGAAGCATAAGCAACAGTAAGTGGCCTGAGTCCTTGGACTTGGCCTTGGACTTGAGCAGTGAGTCTTCCTGGGTGGGGAAAGAAGTAA